CATACTTATTTTTAGTAAGACTGTTGAGGAGCACGTTCTGCACTTGGACAAAGTCCTTAGTCTTCTGCGACAGCACAAGTTCAAGATCAACGGTGAGAAGTGTGAGTTTGGCCGCACCCGTGTCTTGTACTTGGGTCATGAGATTTCCGCGGAGGGATTAAAGCCCGATGACGCGAAGGTGGCCAGCATTCGTGACTGGCCGCGTCCTCAATCTATGACTTAGATGAGGTCTTTCTTAGGGATGACCGACTACTATCGCAATTTCGTGAAGAACTATAGCATCGTTGCTGCCCCTTTGACTGACCTAACTCGCCCTGACACCCCATGGGAGTAGACAGATGCGAGGCTGCTTTCAGACATCTGAAGCACGCGTTGACGCATCATGAGGTCTTGAAACTCCTGATCCTGACAAGCCATTTATAGTAACTACGGATGCTAGCCAATATGGCATAGGCGTCGTACTTGCACAGCAGGAGAGGAAAAAGTTGAGGTCGGTAGACTACATGTCCAAAAAGATGCCCTCTCGGAAGTTGGCGAAGTCCACCTATGAGAAGGAGCTCTATGCGATCTACAAGGCGCTCACCCATTGGAGGCACTATCTCCTTGGGAGGTTCTTCTACATCAGGACTGATCACCAGACCCTGAAGTGGATGAGAACCCAACCTATGCTCTCCGACGCTCTGAAGCATTGGATTGAAGTCATAGAGCAGTATGACTTCGAGCCCCAGTACATCAAGGGCGAGTACAACAAGGTTGCTGATGCGTTGTCGCGTAGACCTGATTTCTCAGGTGCGCTGATTACTTAGTTCGATCTTACGGACGATGTTACTCGCTCTTTGGTGGAAGCCTATCGCGAGGACCAATTCATGTCTGAGATCATACGCAGACTTGAGGCGAAGGATGAGAAGACTTCTGTCGAGTTTGAGTTGGTCAACGGCTTGCTGTTCCTTGAGAAGGCAGGGAATAAACGATTGTGTGCCCCAAATAGAGAGTCTTTGCGCAGTTTATTTTTAGGAGAGTGTCATGATGCCACCGACCATTTTGGCTATAAAACGACAGCAGCCAATCTGCTGCAGCAGTTCTGGTGGCCCACGTGGAGACTTGTCAGGTCTGTTAGAGAGACAAGCCACATACTCAGGCTCCTCTTGGGCTCCTGAAGCCCCTTCCGATTCCGGAAAGGCCTGGTGAGAGTTTGTCCATGGATTTCATGGATACGCTCGTCACCAGCAAGAGCAGCATGAGACATATCTTTGTCATCGTGGACAGATTTAGTAAGTATGCTAGGTTGATAGCCATACCCGAGACAGCGAAAACCGAGTACGTTATTAAAATGTTCAAAGAGAACTGGGTAAGAGATTTTGGTCTACCCAAGTCAATCGTGAGTGACTGGGATGTCATATTTACAAGTGAGTTGTGGAAGGGTGCTGCTGCCGAACAGGGAACGCAGCTGCAGATGACTTCAGGTAATCACCCCGAGGCCAATGACCAGGCCGAACATTAAATCGTGCTGTCCAACACCTGTTGCGGCATTACATCAAGCTCAATCAGGTTGAGTGGGACGAGAAGCTTGCTCTCATCGCCAGTCTGTATAACAATGTTGTGCAAGTAGATCAGCCTCTAACAAATAATCCAAATGTGGGTGGATTTGGACAAGCAAATACGGAAATTGTTCTCCTCAGGTTGTAGCCCAATACGAGAAATCTTTGCAGAAGGGAAAGCGCCCGATGATTGAAGACTGAGCTTCTCAGAGGACTGTTGAAGCTATGGGGGAGGGAATGCAAGGCCACAGGCTTGATGAGCCCCTTTCAGGCCCTGTCAAGCAGCACGTCGGCCGCCCTAAGTGAAGGCAGGCTCGACGAGGACGTGAGGGCCCCTATTTCGGCCACCACGCAACTAAGGAAATTCAGGCAGTTGCGCAGCGCCAGTTGGTTGAAAGAACCCACGCCCTGGGCCGCCTCTTTCTTCATGTATCGAAGGCAGGCCCTGGGCTGGATACGGGATGTGGGCCAAACACAGGCCGAAGGCAGTTCGGCACAAGCAACCACCTCAGGCCTTGGGCCTGATTTGTTTCGGACTGGGCCTCAGCCTACCGGGGCCTACCGGAAGCTTCTTGGGAAAGGCCCAGCGCAGCCTGGGACAGAATGCAGGCNGGCCTACCGGAAGCTTCTTGGGAAAGGCCCAGCGCAGCCTGGGACAGAATGCAGGCAGGCCACTTCCATATAGCAAAGGGCCTGCCTCCGCATTGGAGATTAGGGTGCTGGCTGCATGTTGTGCAAGCGCTGCTGCGCTGAAGCTAGCTAGCGCTCACGCGCTCACGGGCGAGCTGGAAGGAGCAGGCAGCCATAGCCGAGCTGCGTTGCTGGGAGCTGGGTGAGGCGCAGGGTGGTCCTTGGGTGCATGTGGCATCTGTGTGTTGGGGAACGAGGTTGTGAGTGATGCGAGAGACATACCTGGTGCTGGAAGCGTGCGGCATTGGCCGCTATCTGCTCGTACTTCGGGAGAGTTGTTGTCGTCATCTTCGGCATTGTACTCTAGGCTAGATAGGATCTGCCATCTGTAGTCTGGCGCCGAGCGCCAGATAGGATATCAACATTGGTTCTTCGTTGATGATGATGAGACTATTCCAACATTGTCAATTATGCGCTTTTGGTGTGCTCTTATTTGGTGAAACTCGTAATGCAATTCTGCCCTTGGTTCGAGGTCACGACTATCTGGTCTAATGTGTATGATGCTGTTTGATTGCTGAAGTTCGCTACTGCTCATCTTCCTTGCAATATATACAATGTATACATAATATATAGTCAGTATTAGTCGCATATATCGTCAAAGTTCAAATTTCAAACTTCAAACAGATATGTAAATGTGTCCTCACGGACCCCTAGACAACATGCATATGTTCCAACTCTTTTGAGTCTTCTGATTGTGGCTCCCTGCAAGCCTCGTGCCCGTCCAAAGTGAAGGCGGGCCTGAATATTCACGAGAGGCCCCTATCTCAGCATTTTCCAATGCGGATCTCAGACAGTTGCTGCACGACAGTTGGTTGAAGTACAACTAGAGCCCTACCCTGGGCTCTTCCAGAAGAAGCAACTGCGCGAGGCAGTTGAGCCCAGGGCCCGAGTGGTTGTGCCCCGGGCACATGCCTTGTGAGGCCGACACATCACGATGTGGCCGGGTGTGCCCAACTGAGAAGGGCCCACGCCCTCAACTGTCGACATGGGCCTGGCCGCAGACACATCATGATGTGGCCACAAGCCCTCAACTGTCCACCCGGGCCCGGGTGGTTGTGCCCTAGGCACACGCCTTCTGAGGCTGACACATCACGATGTGGCCATGAGCCAACCAGAAAGCAGCACTGTCGTCGTCTCTACCCCGCGGGCCAGTGCAAATGCAACAAACATACAGAGCCTGGGAAATTCTGGGTGTGCCCAACTGAAAAGGGCCCAGGCCCTCAACTATCGACATGGGCCTGGGCACAAACACATCACGATGTGGCCACCGGCCCTCAACTGTCGACATGGGCCCGGGTGGTTGTGACCTGGGCACATGCCTTGTGAGGCCGACACATCACGATGTGGCCACGGGCCAACCAGAAAGCAGCATTGTCGTCGTATGGGCAGACACATCACGATGAGGCCACATGCCCTCAACTGTCGACACGGGCCCGGGTGGTAGTGCCCTGGGCACATGCCTTGTGAGGCTGACACATCACGATGTGGCCATGGACCAACCAGAAAGCAGCATTGTCGTCATATCTACCCCGCGGGCCAGTGCAAACGCAATAAACATTCGGAGCCTGGAAAATTCTGGGTGTGCCCATCTGAAAAGGGCCCAGGCCCTCTCGACATGGGCCTGGGCGCAGACACTGGGGCCCGACCAGCAGCAAGTCTGTCTTTCACTCAATTACCTTGTCACGTGAGTCTGTCTGCAAGTCTGTCAAGTATGTCTGTCGGTCAGTGCCAGTCGGACAGACTAGCAGACAAACAGACTTTACGAAGTTGCCGACAGACTCACGTGACATGCTGACAGAGTGACATACAGACAGATAGGCAAACAGGCACACAACACGGTGACAAGTTGCACTCACAGTTTGACTGAGCGGAAGACAAACAGGTCTCTCTGCAAACTGACAAACAAACAGACAGACAGGCAGACAGATATACTGACCAACAGGCATATATGACTGACAAACTAACATGACAGGGTGACTGAGTGACAAACAGACAGACTGAATGACAAACATCCACACAGATACGGTGACACGTCACACAGACAGTTTAAACGCGTGGAATACAGACAGACCTGCTAACCGAATGATGGACAAACGGACAGATAGGCCTTCCTGGTGTTGTGTACATAAGTCATGACAAGTCACACACACATGCACAAAACTGAGACCCGCAAACATGTCTTCTCTTCTCAATCTGAGTCCGACAGCAAGATTTGACAAGGTTATTTGCAAACATCTCTCTCTCTCTCTCTCTCTCTCTCTCTCTCTCCCCCCCCCCCCCCCCCCCACACACACACACACACACACAGGGTGCTTGTCCCTCCCCATCAGTCGGTGCCATCCTCCGTTTTTTTCTTCTAAGAAGTGGCTGCTCCTCATCTGATTCCTCGTCCTCCTCTGCCTGCCCCTCCTCAGCCCTTTCTTCTGCCTGTGTGGGGGCAGAGCGGGCGCCCCCTGGGTCTCAAGGATCCCGAAGTAGGAGGCTCTTCGCCTCGTTTGGAAGGTGCCTCCTCCCCTGGCTGCTCCTTTGCCTGTGCAGGTGGGTGTCCTTTGCCTTTCGAGGATCCTAAACAAGGACGCCCTCTGCCTCTTTTAGGAGGCAGGTCTCCTCTCCCTCTCGCAGTCGATGCACCTCCTCGTCCACCTCTCCCACCCCGTGGAGGTCGATAACTGAGAGGATCCCAAGTGGAACCAGGGGCGTCCCCTAGACGACCAAGCAGTTGTGAGGGTCTGCTCGGACCGTAGAACGCACGCGGTTCCTGCTGGTACTTACCCCCGCGTTGCTGCTGCTTCTCTTCCTGCTGCTGCTGCTCCTCCTCGTCCTGCTGTGGCGTCCTCATGCTCCCCCTGCTGCTGCTGCTCACCATGCTATCGAATTGCGCCATTAAGTCCAGATTGTTGAAGACGGTGATGTCCCGCAATCGAGGGTCTAACAGTCGGGTCACAACATGAACAGGGTTGAGAAGCATGTCCGTCCTCTTTCCCACATCGTGCAAGATGTTGTCCCGCTCACCGTCTGTGAGTGGTGCATGAAGAACACAATTCTTCGGGTCCACGGCAGCGTCGTACACCCTGGACAAGCAATGGATGTCCTTGTCGACCATCCTCGGCACATCATAGGGCCCCTTCATCACTTCATGCAGCTTCTTCAAATCTGCCCAAAATGCCCTATCAGTGATGAGGGACTCCACCTCGTAAGCGTTTTTCTTGATATACGGCTGCCAATCCATGTTCGTCCATGAGTCCCCCAACACCAAGCGATGAAGGGCTCTCTCGCATGTCATGACGAAGTGGGTCCCGAACATCGTAAGGGAAGGACGAAGAAGAACTCTGACTTTGACACCCTTTTGTGCCATCAGCTCCGTCCTCAATGCTGATCGTGGCCACCTGTGGTTCCTGAAGAACTTCACGACCATATTTGCCTTCTTGATGGCGTCCTTAGCCCACGGCTTGCCGCCCACATCCTGCATAAACAGGTCCATGCAATGCGCAGTGCACGGGATCCAGTATATCTGTTGGAACTCTGGATCCGCCCTCAACATCGTGGCTGCACTTTTGTTCCCCGAGAAGGAGTCAGTGTAGATGGTCGTGATCTTCTCAACCCCAATCTCCCTGAAGAAGTTAATCCATCCACGAATAACTGCAACAGCGTCCTTGTCCTGGTCGCTAACGTCCTCACACTTGATGAATAGTGGCTTCAAACGCCCTACAAGGATATAATTCACCAATGACCGCCCACAAATGTCAGTGGTGCCGTCAGTGATGAACGTGCAGCCCGTGACCTCCCGATCATCGTTGATGGCCTGCTCCTCTTCGCTCAACCTCCGCCTCAAGCCATCGAGAAGATAACACCTCAGAGGGTTGTAGCCAGTGGGGAGTTGGGGATGTCTGGCAGCAGGTTGTGGTCCATAGCATGTGTTGACGAACTTCTTGAAGGACTTGCTCTTCGCCACATTGAAGGGGATTGCGTTCTCCACAAAGAACTCGATGCAGCTCTCATCAATATCCTTCTGTCGCGGGTTCTTGACCCACCTCGCGATGGAAGTCTGCTCCACCTACCCGTGTTTACACATTCCGGCTTGCGGTGCATTAGCACGAGAAGGGCCTGCCTCCCCCCAACATGCATCTCGCACATCAACAACCCTCCACCCAACATCCTCCACCTCACTGCAAGATTGTGGACCCGACTGTCCACCCCTCCCCACTTGTCTCCCTCGTTCGTCCTCGGCGTCTTCCCCGACATGTCCTCCCTCGAAACCACCATCACCGGTGGTGTTCTCCTCCTCCGCCGCTTGCTGCAGCAATTCCAGCAAGTCTGCAGGTAAAACCACCCCGACAACATGCAGTCTCCTCCAGATAATCAGTATCCCATGAGATCAACGTGAAGTCGGTCTCTTCCAAATGAAGTGCTCAACTGCACGCGGTTGTCCCCCCATGAACTCACGGCCGCACAACTTGCATTTCAGGCGACGACCACCCCCAGTGGTCTCCTCCAGCTTCTGTGCGGCAGACACCCACGATCACACACAGATGTTACCCCGAAATGTTGGATCCTCCCTGAACGGCTCCCTCTCAACTTCGACGCTCCGGTGTAGGGCCTAACCCCGTTAGACTTTCGAGCCCGTGTCGACCCCACTGCGGGTCCCAGTTGGCTCGGCCCGCCCACACTCATGCTTAGGGCGCGGGCCATTCGTCACGGGGCCACCCCCACCTAGTGCTTTGAGATGGATGGGGGTGGGCCACCGAGCGAGAAAGCTTTGACATTGGGGATATAGCTCAGCCCTCACGCCAGGTGGTAGTCTCGCGGATCGTTTCGCAAGCGTAATTTTTCTGATTCTTGGTTGTGGAACCTAGACGCGGGCGCGGCGTGGAGCCGAAGAATCCGACTTGCCTTGCATCTTGCGTTCGTAGCGTGCGAGAACGTCTGGAGCTGTCGCTTGCAGTTCCGCACGGGTCAACCAACGATCAGCTCGATGAGTGCAGTAAGCCTAGCATATCCCTGACCCAATCCCGCTCAAGTCATCCGAAGCTACTCACCTGCACAATCAAACACAAGTGCAAATGCCAATACAATCTCCCATTCGGCGGTCAACACATAGGCCTCCCACATGCCTATGCTTCCTTCCTTTGCTCTTGGCTTGCTTCCCCAATCCATTTTCCATGCACAGTGAATCCATCCTCTTCTCATGGCCATGCACTCCGGGTTCCGTTGAGTCAACTCACCTTTCTCTTAGTCAACAATCTCTTCCTCTAGCCCTCTTTGGACTAGTTCAATTTCAAATTTCCCAGCTTTTTGCGCTCACCGTTTTCAAATATCCTCTTCCTGATTCCTTCTTGGTGGCACAAGGGACCGACAGTCCTTCCCTTGCCCCCTTTCTCCACCAAGTGAGGTCGACTTTCTTTCACCTTTCGTCCCCTGGCAACGTAACAAGTGAGAGGGAAAAAGGTTTAGAGGGAAGAAGACCAACGGACGAAGTAGAGGAACGAAAGTGTGTGTGTGTGTGTGTGTGTGTGTGTGTGTGTGTGAGAGAGAGAGAGAGAGAGAAAGAGAAAGAGAGAGAAAGAGAAAGAGAGAGAAAAAGAAAGAGAGAGAGAAAAGACTCCCTAATCCTAATCAAGCCTTACCCATACTTGACCTACCGTCCTCCGTTCAAGATCTGAACCGGTACATTATGGAGTGAGAGAAAAACTGATCAGCACACAAGTGTAACTAACTTACATATGCACATAGGCTATAAAGGCAGCAAGATCTAACCGGTACATCATCAAATGGGAGAAGAACTGAACTGCACAACTTACACTAGAGCGTGCACATGTGTGAAGCTATGAAAGCAACTAGGTAGAACCGGCACATCACCAAGTGAAGGAATAATTGAACTGCACAACCTAGACTAACACATACATATGTGCGAAGCTATGGGCGCAACTAGGAAGAAACGACACATCACCAAGGAGAGAGAGAACTGAACTGCACAACTTAGGCTAGAGCGTGCACATGTGTGAAGCTATGGAAGCGACTAGGAAGAAACAACACATCACCAAGTGAAGAAAGAACTGAACTGCACAACTTAGCCTAAAGCATACACATGTGTGAAGCTATGGACCCAACTAGGAAGAACCGACACATCACCAAGTAGAGAAAGAACTGCACTGCACAACTTAACCTAAAGCATACACATGTGTGAAGCTATGGAAGCAACTATGAAGAACCGGCACATCACCAAGTAGAGAAAGAATTGAACTACACAACTTAAACTAGAGCATGCACATGTGTGAAGCTATGGAAGCCACTAGGAAGAACCGACACATCCCCAAGTGAAGGAAAGATTGAACTTGCAGCAAAGATCCCACAACACACACATATATGAGCCATGGAACAACTAGGGAGGAACTGCCACATCACCAAGTGAAGGCAACACTGAACTGCAACAAAGAACCTACAACACACACATACATAAGCCATGGAACAACTAGGAAGGAACCGCCACATCACTAAGTGAAGGAAAGACTGAACTTGCACCAAAGAACCTACTGCACATACATACATGGGCTATGGAAGAACTAGGAAGGAACTGTCACATCACCAAGTGAAGGAAAGACTAAATTGCAACAAAGAACCTTCAACGCACAAATACATGAGCCATGGAGCAACTAGGGAGGAACCGCCACATCACCAAGTGAAGGAAAGACTGAACTTGCACCAAAGAACCTACAACACATACAAACATGAGCCATAGAGCAAGTAGGAAAGAACCGCCACATCTCCAAGTGAAGGGAAGATTGATCTGCAACGAAGAACCTACAACACATACATACATGAGCTATAGAGCAACTGGGAAGAAACCACCACATCACCAAGTGAACAAAAGACTGAACTTGCACCAAAGAACCTACACCACGTACATACATGAGCTATAGAACAACTAGGAAGGAACCGCCACATCACCAACTGAACTTGCACCAAAGAACCTACTGCACATACACACATGAGCTATAGAGCAACTAAGAAGGAACCGCCACATCACCAAGTGAAGGAAAGATTGAACTTGCACCAAAGAACCTACAAAACATACATACATNACTAAGAAGGAACCGCCACATCACCAAGTGAAGGAAAGATTGAACTTGCACCAAAGAACCTACAAAACATACATACATGAGCTATAGAGCAACTAGGAAGGAACTGCCACATCACCAAGTGAAGGAAAGACTAAACTGCAGCGAAGAACCTTCAGCACATACATACATGAGCTATAGAGCAACTAGGAAGGAACCGCCGCATAACCAAGTGAAGGAAAGACTGAACTTGCACCAAAGATCCCACAACACATACATACATGAGCTATAGAGCAACTAGGAAGGAATCACCACATCACCAAGTGAAGGAAAGACTGATCTGCAGCAAAAAACCTACATCACACACATATATGAGCCATAGAACACCTAGAAAGGAACCGCCATATCACCAAGTGAGGGAAAAACTAAACTTGCACCAAAGAACCTACAACACATACATCCATGAACTATAAAGCAACTAGGAAGGAACCGCCACATAACCAAGTGAAGGAAAGACTGAACTTGCACCAAAGAACCTACAACACATACATACATGAGTTATAGAGCAACTAGGAAGGAACCGCCACATCACCAAGTAAAGGAAAGACTGAACTGCAGCAAAGTACCTACAACACACACATACATGAGCCATAGAACAACTAGGAAGGAACCGCCACATCACCAAGTGAAGGACAGACTGAACTTGCACCAAAGAACCTACAACACATAAATACATGAGCTATAGAGCAACTAGGAAGGAACCGCCACATCACCAAGTGAAGGAAAGACTGAACATGCACCAGAGAACCTACAGCACATACATACATGAGCTATAGATCAACTAGGAAGGAACCGCCACATCACCAAGTGAAGGAAAGACTGAACTGCAGCAAATAACCTACAAAACACACATAGATGAGCCATAGAGCAACTAGGAAGGAACCGCCACATCACCAAGTGAAGGAAAGACTGAAGTTGCACCAAAGAACCTACAGCACATACATACATGAGCTATGGAACAACTAGGAAGGAACCGCCAAATCACCAAGTGAAGGAAAGACTGAACTTGAACCAAAGAACGCACAACACATACATACATGAGCTATAGAGCAACTAGGAAGGAACCGCCACGTCACCAAGTGAAGGAAAAACTGATCTGTAGCAAAGAACCTACAACACACACCTACATGAGCCATAACACAACTAGGAAGGAACCACCACATCACCCAAGTGAGGGAAAGACTGAACTTGCACCAAAGAACCTACAACACACACATACATGAGCTATAGAACAACTAGGAAGGAACCGCCACATTAGCAAGTGAAGGAAAGACTGAACTTGCACCAAAGATCCCACAATATATACATACATGAGCTATAGAGCAACTACGAAGGAACCGCCACATCACCGAGTGAAGGAAAGACTGAACTTGCACCAAAAAACCTACGGCACATACATACATTTGGAACAACTAGGAAGGAACCGCCACATCACCAAGTGAAGGAAAGACTGAACTTGCACCAAAGAACCTACAACACATACATACATGAGCTATTGAGCAACTAGGAAGGAACCGCCACATCACCAAGTGAAGGAAAGACTGAACTGCAACAAAAGATCCTACAGCACACACATACATGAGTCATAAAACAACTAGGAAGGAACCGCCACATCACCAAGTGAAGGAGAGACTGAACTTGCACAAAAGAACCTAGAGCACATACATACATGAGCTGTAGAGCAACTAGGAAGGAACCGCCACATCACAAAATGAGAGAAGGGAGCTGCAGGTGAGTGAGACTTGCTCAAACACCTGTGTAGCTCTCATGAAAGCATCCAGCCTTGAATCGGCTCATTACAAGGTGGAGGAATGGACAATGTGGGAGACCTGAATCACCAAAGTGCCTCCATGAGCGAAAGTCAAGGTTACGATTTACCCCCAAGTGGGGGAAGAGGTTGATCTTGAGGTGAGAGTGCATAGATCCCTCCCTCAAGCTAGGAAAGTCGTAGCCTAAAGTGGCGATTTGTCAGGGGGTGAAAGAAATATCCATCAAGGAGATACTACCAATGGAGGAACTACTTTTTATCTCCCTGAAGAAGGATCAGAAAATGATTGAGGAAGGAGGAGGAGAGGATGAAGAGTAAGTAACGAAGGAGAAAATAAAAGAAGAAGAAGAAGAAGAATAGGAAGAAGAAGAAGAAGAAGAAGAAGAAGAAGAAGAAGAAGAAAAAGAAGAAAAAAAAGAAGAAAAAAAATTCGAGGAAGGAGAAAAGAAGAAGAAGAAGAAGAAGCTCCTCCTTCTTGTTCCCACTGACCTCTCCTCTCTTTCTTTGGTGTTCGAAGACCAGTCTTGATGAAGCTCCTCCTTTCTTGCTTGGCTATGACTCTCTTCTCCCTCAAACCCTCATCTCCTTCCTTTCACCGTTTTTCCCGTCTATGGCAAGCTCCCACTCCCAAGGCTATGGAGTCCTCCCCTTTAGGAGGGCTGAATGGGTTCCTCCAATCCTCTCTCCCCGTCCCACAGCCTGGGGGCTATGGAAGATCACCCCCTTGAGTCTCCAATACTCACTCTAGCTCCAATGGCAGTTCCTACTAGCTCATAGTATGGGCACTCCTCATGCAAATGGGAGTGTGGCGGATTGCTCCCTCAGCTTATGTAGGCTGAAACCGGAGTACCGGCCATCCCATGAGCCTCCCCATGTGCCTCCAAGTGAACCGAGGTACCCCCAAGGCAAAATTTCACCACTAGGCCTCTCCGAGGGTACCTGGGCCTCATTTTGGCTAAGTACATGCTGTCCGAGTGGTTGGTACCAACCCGGATTGCCTCTTGGCCTCCTTCATCCTCCTTTTCTTTTTCAAATGCTGCCCCCTTGAGTCCAAATGTTGAACGGGCAACCTTACTTGGAGGAAAAATGCCTTTTTGAACCTTTTTCTTACTTTTCGCTGTTCCTACCTCATTTTGGGTAGGCCGAGATATTTTTCCAAGTCTCGGATCAATCTCATCCTTGGATCTGGCTGAGATCCAAGGCCAGCATAGTTCCGAGCTACCCCCAAGTGGTCCTTGCTTCAATTTTGAGCTCCTATGCTCACTTTTTCAATTTTTGGTGCATCTGGCCTTCT